TGTACTTATGTGCAAGGGGTCTTGTTACTTTACTAACATGCTTAACCCTTCTTTGCCTAGTGATTTTGTTGTGCTTTTGCAAGAGTTTGAACATTTATTTTCCGAGGAGATGCCTAGTAGTTTGCCACCACTTAGAGGGATTGAACACAAGATTGACTTCATTCCTGGCGCGCCCATTCCAAACCGACCAGCTTATAGGACTAATCCAAAGGAGGCTGAAGAGATACAAAGGCAAGTAAGTGAACTCCTTGCTAAAGGGTATGTACGTGAAAGTTTGAGTCCTTGTTCTGTTCCAGTTATTCTTGTACCTAAGAAAGATGGTTCTTGGCGTATGTGTGTTGATTGTAGGGCTATAAACAAGATAACTATAAAGTATAGGCATCCAATTCCCAGATTAGATGATATGCTTGATGAATTGCATGGATGTAGTCTTTTTACTAAGATTGATTTAAAATCGGGTTATCATCAAATTCGCATGCATATTGGGGATGAGTGGAAAACAGCTTTTAAAACCAAGTATGGTCTTTATGAATGGTTGGTTATGCCTTTTGGATTAACTAATGCACCTAGTACATTCATGAGACTAATGAATCATGTCTTACGAGAATACTTAGGTAAGTTTGTGGTTGTTTATTTTGATGACATCCTTGTTTACTCTAAATCTTTAGATGATCATATTACCCATGTACGCAATGTTTTGACTACTTTAAGAAACGAATGTTTGTACGTAAATTTAAAGAAATGTAGCTTTTGCATGGAAAAAGTTAACTTTCTTGGGTTTGTAGTTTCATCTAATGGTGTTGAGGTTGATGAGGAGAAAGTGAAGGCTATAAAAGATTGGCCTACTCCGAAAAATGTAAGTGAGGTAAGAAGTTTTCATGGTCTTGCAAGTTTCTACCGTAGGTTCATTAAAAATTTTAGTACAATTGCTTCACCCTTGAATGAACTTGTTAAGAAAAATGTATCCTTTATATGGGAAAAAGATCAAGAACTTGCTTTTAATACTTTGAAAGAAAAATTGAGTTCTGCTCCCTTGCTTGCATTACCTAATTTTGAGTCTACTTTTGAAATTGAATGTGATGCTAGTGGAATAGGGATAGGTGCTGTATTAATGCAAAATCAAAGACCTTTAATGTTCTTTAGTGAGAAGTTGACTGGTGCATCTTTGAGGTATCCAACTTATGACAAAGAGCTTTATGCTTTGGTTCGTGCATTGCAAACCTGGCAACATTATCTTTGGCCTAAGGAGTTCATTATTCATACGGATCATGAAAGTTTAAAGCATTTGAGAGTACAAAATAAACTCAACCGACGACATGCTAAGTGGTTAGAATTTATTGAAACATTCCCGTATGTCATAAAATATAAACAAGGAAAGGAGAACATTGTAGCAGATGCTTTATCACGAAGGTATGTCCTCCTCAATACTTTGAATGCTAGGTTGTTGGGTTTTGAACACATAAAGGATTTGTATCAACATGACATGTTCTTTGCTCCTTTTGTTGAATCTTGTGAAAAAGGACTCATTGTGGATAATTACTTGTTGTTAGATGGATTTTTGTTCCGAAAAGGCAAACTTTGCATACCATCTTGTTCCATCCGTGAGCTACTTGTGAGGGAAGCTCATGGAGGTGGTTTAATGGCACACCATGGAGTTTCTAAAACTTATGATATGCTCTCTGAACATTTTTTTTGGCCTAAAATGAGACATGATGTTCATAAAGTTTGTGGTCGTTGCATAGCATGTAAACAAGCTAAGTCTAGGCTTCAACCACATGGTTTATACTCCCCATTACCAGTTCCTAATGGTCCATGGATTGATATATCAATGGATTTTGTTTTAGGTTTACCTAGGACTAGGAAAGGTTATGATAGCATTTTTGTTGTGGTTGATCGATTTAGTAAAATGGCTCATTTTATTCCTTGTCACAAAACTGATGATGCAAAACATATTGCAGACCTGTTCTTTAGGGAAGTTGTACGATTGCATGGCATTCCTAAAAGCATCGTTAGTGATCGTGATGTAAAATTTTTAAGCCACTTTTGGCGTGTTTTATGGGGTAAGTTAGGAACTAAGCTAGTATATTCAACTACTTGTCATCCTCAAACGGATGGACAAACTGAAGTTGTTAACAGAACCATGACTGCTATGCTTAGGGCTATTATTGATAAGAATCTTAAGACTTGGGAGGATTGTTTGCCATTTATAGAATTTGCATATAATTGGGCTGTTCATAGCACTACTAAATGCACACCTTTTGAAATTGTTTATGGCTTTAATCCTTTAACCCCTATTGACTTGTTACCCATACCGTCAAAAGAGTTTGTGAATTTTGATGCAAATGCCAAGGTTGAGTTTGTTCATAAACTGCACAAGCAAGTGAAAGAACAAATTGAGAAACAAAATTCCAAGGTTGCCACCCGAATTAATAAAGGACGTAAGATTGTCATCTTCAAGCCAGGAGATTGGGTTTGGGTGCATTTCCGAAAAGAAAGATTTCCTACTCAAAGAAAATCTAAGCTTTTACCACGAGGAGATGGACCTTTTCAAGTTCTTGAGCGCATCAACGACAATGCTTATAAAATTGATTTATCAGGTAAGTACGGTGTTAGTGCAACTTTTAATGTTGTTGATTTGAGCCCTTATGATGTAGGTGATGGCTTGGATTCGAGGACGAATCCTTCTCAAGAGGGGGAGAATGATATGAACCACGACCAAGGAATTTCCATACCTCAAGGTCCAATTACAAGGACGAGAGCCAAGAAGCTACAACAAACTTTATACAGTTATATTCAAGCTATGGTGAGCTCATCAAAGGAAATTCTAGAAGACGCTGGAGACCTCCCTTATATGTTGTGCAAAGTTGAGGTTCAAGAAAGAGATGAATTAAATGCACTTTAAGTTTTAAGTTGCATTTAATGAACTCCGCTGAATTTATCAAATAGTCCAAGGATGACTAATAAGCACATTTTATTATTTGCATTATTTAATTATAGTTTAACTATTTGTTTGTCATATTTAAACTAGTTTTAAATATAGGAGTTAAGGTTATATTGTAACCCACATAGGTTACTATATTCCACCATTAACTAGCCATTTAAATATGGAGGTTATGGGTATTTCTCATTACTAGCCCATTTAATTTGGGAGTTATGTATGACATAGGTTAAGGTTGTAAAGGCTATATAAAGCCTTCTTTTCTTTGATTAGACATCAGATTTTGGAATTAAGAATAGAATTTCTATTTTAGCTTTGTTAAGAGCTAAACTTTCTTTGCAAATTCTTGTGTTTAGAACTTGCATGTAGAGTCATTCAAGTGGTATTGATCAAACCTCTTGTGGAGTGATTCGAATCACGAGTTTAGAAACGAGTTTTCTTTACTCTTGATCTTGATCATCAAGGTAATCCGTTCCATACTTTCCCTTGGGTTGATTTCCATATCACAAGTACTTGGGGGTCTTTGCATGGGTTTGTCCTTCTCCAAATTTTTGTTTCTAATTTGCACTTGTGGCCTTTCATCCTACCTTAAGGCCATGTACTTATTCTAGTACATGGGTTTGTCCTTCTCCAAATTTTTGTTTCTAATTTGCACTTGTGGCCTTTCATCCTACCTTAAGGCCATGTACTTATTCTAGTATTTGTACTTCTTGACTCTCATCTTAACATCCATTTGTTGAGATTACAAGTCTTGTGTTTTTCCTTATATCTTGGAGCTGATTTCCTTCCTTGTATCCAACAAGTTTTGACATAATCAACTTTCTTCCTCTACGGTTGTATCTTAGAGATTTCTCTTGTTCCTTCTTGTTCAAGGCTTATTGGTGGGCTCTTAGCGTCTTAAGACTTTTCCTTCTTTCCTTGGAGTCAATACTATTTCGTTTTCATACCTTTTTCAAAGGCTTGATTCCTTATAATTGTTGGAAAGAGGGATAGTGAAAGAGATAGGAATTGATAGGAATAGATGAAAGCTGCACTGCTTTATTATTGTCTACTGACTCAATGCTCATAGGGTTGCACAATTCCAGTATTTATAGCTAATACACTGGGCCAGAAATAGTAAATATCTAGATAAACTCAAATCTAATAACAATCTCCTAAAATCTTGGAAGTTTGAATATTTTAATCATATCTAACTACTCTAAATCATATCTTCATTTTGAATAGTTTGAATCATATCTCAACAATAATTCCTTCCTATGGCATTGCAGATCTCTTCCTTTGGCCGATTAACCTTCCTTGGGTCTCTTAATCCCTTTTTTGGATCCCTTAATCCAATCTTGGGCACCTTAAACTTACCCGAATATCTCTTAATCTTACTTGGTCTCTTCCAAATTCACTCCCTCTTAAAAACTTTCATCCTCGAAACTTCACTTTTCTTACCATGCCTTAGGGGAGTTCTTGGTCTTAGTTATGTCATTCCAAGTACCTTGGGGGTCCTTGCATGGGTTTGTCCTTCTCCAAATTTTTTTTCTAATTTGCTCTTGTGGCCTTTTGTCATACCTTAAGGCCATGTACTTTTTCTAGTATTTGTTCTTCTTTGACTCCCATTCTTAACATCCATTGTTGAGATTACAAGTCTTTCTTGGTCGCCCTTGTGTTTTTCCTTATATCTTGGAGCATATTTCCTTCCTTGTATCCAACAAGTTTGGACAAAATGAGAGACTTCTCCTTATAACTCCTAGTTAGGGCATTGAAAATCTCTTCCCAGCCCATTAACCTTCCTTGGATCTCTCTTAGTCCTTTTGTTAGATCCCTTAATCCTTTCATGGACACCTTAAACTTACCCAACTATCTCTTAATCTTATTTGGTCTCTTCCAAAGTCTCCCCCTCTTAAAAACTTTCATCCTCGAAACGTCACTTTTCTTACCATACCTTGGGGGAGAGTTCTTGGTCTTAGTTATGTCCTTCCAAGTACCTCGGGGGTCCTTGCATGGGTGTGTCCTCATCCAAAATGTTTTTCTAATTTGCACTTGTGGCCTTTTGTCCTACCTTAAGGCCATGTACTTATTCTAGTATTTGTTCTTCTGGACTCTCATCTTAACATCCATCATTGTTGAGATTACAAGTCTTTCTTGGTCGTCCTTGTGTTTTTGCTTATATCTTGGCGCATATTTCTTTCCTTGTATCCAACAAGTTTTGACATAATCAACTTTATTCCTTCAAGGCTATATCTTAGAGACTTCTCTTGTTCCTTCTTGTACAAGGTTTATTGGTGGACTCTTAGGGTCTTAAGTCCTTTCCATCTTTCCTTGGAGTAAATACTATTGCGTTTTCAAACCTTTTTCAAACGCTTGAATCCTTATAACTCCTAGCTTGGGCATTGAAAATCTCTTCCTTTGGCCCATTAACCTTCCTTGGGTCTCTCTTAATCCTTTTGTTAGATTCCTTAATCCTTTGATGGACACCTTAAACTTACCCGAGTATCTCTTAATCTTATTTGGTCTCTTCCAAAGTCTCCCCTCTTAAAAACTTTCATCCTCCAAACGTCACTTTTCTTATCATGCCTTGCGAGAGTTCTTGGTCTTAGTTATGTCCTTCAAAACTACCTGGAGGGTCCTTGCGTGGGTTTTTCCTCATCCAAAATGTTTTTCTAATTTGCATTTGTGGCCTTTTGTCCTACCTTTAAGGCCATGTACATATTCTAATATTTGTTCTTCTTGACTCTCATCTTAACATCCATGGTTGAGATTACAAGTCTTTCTTGGTCGTCCTTGTGTTTTTTCTTATATCTTGGAGCATATTTCCTTCCTTGTATCCAACAAATTTTGACATAATCAACCTTATTCCTTCAAGGTTGTATCTTAGAGATTTCTCTTGTCCCTTCTTGTACAAGGCTTATCGGTGGATTCATAGGGTCTTAGTTATGTCCTTCTTTCCTTCTTTCCTTCTTTCCTTGGAGTAAATACTATTTCGTTTTCAAACTTTTTTCAAACGCTTGAATCCTTATAATTCCTAGCTAGGGCATTGCGAATCTCTTCCTTTGGCCCGTTAATCTTACTTGGTCACTTAAAAATTTTCCTGCCCTTAAATTTATCTGAGTATCTTAATCTTCCTTGGTCTTAGCTATGTCCTTCCAAGTACCTTAAAGTCATGTACAAGGCCTATTGGTTGGTTCTTAGGGTCTCAGGTCCTTCTTTCCTTGCTCTTACTAGGTTTCTTAATCCTTAAACAACTTTTGGCCTTGTAAAGATTGATTTGTCTTGAGACAATGCTTTTTAGGAGGGCCTATAGTCTTAGTTCTTTCATGTTGGTCTTATGAACTCTTAGGGTTACTACTTGTCCTCCGAGGTGTTAAAAGGTCATCTTATATCTTTGCTGGTATAGTAACCCTAAAGTTAATCAAACACATAAAAGCCTTTGGCATCCTTATCTTAAAGTCTTAAAGGTGTTCATTCCTAGTCGTGGCGGAGCGTCTCTCGAGCAGGGCCATAGAGAACCTTTACTTTGATATTACTCTGTCACGACTCAATTTCACGAGTCGCGACTATATAAAAACTTGAAAAAACAAAAAAAAAAAACGGTAAAAAAATTTGTGTTTAATACAAAAACATAAAATACATTTTATTCCAAATAAATTCTATGAGTTTAAATATATTGGGCCCCGTTAATAAAACAATTTAAAACATTAAAGAACTGAATGGCTCTATATGGCACCTGCTCCCGATCCGTTTCCAACCTCGACTAGCTCCTTTTCACATGTTAAAAACATGAGAGAACTAGAATGAGTACAAAAACTCAATGAGTAGCATACTTGACCGCTCTTAATTTAACTTTCTTTCCTCCTTTCATACATAACCATTAACCTAAAAAAGTTCAAAGGATGGTCCATTATCCAAAATTAGGGAGTCAAACTCATACGTTAACCCACAATTCTGGTATCCAAACTTATCTTCCTTTCCTCCTTCCTTACAAACATTCCTTCCTCTCAAATTTCACAAACCAATTTTTGCCATCCTTTATTCCTTAATTTCAAGAATTCTTCGCTTTCCAATGGTCCTTTTTTCAAATGTTTTCATACTTATGGCATATGACATCTTATTCTTTGATTCTAACCGTTCTTCGATTTCCAATTGTATATTCCAACATATAGTCTTCCATTTACCCCTCTAAGTGAATTGTTTTCCTTTTTATATAAGGATATCATCTCATCTAATTTTTTGAGGAAACCCATAGACCGTTCTAACTTGTAACTTAATCTTTCTTCCTTCCTTACACACTTTAAACCAAAATTTGTATCCAAATTTAACTTTCTTCCATTATTTCATACATAACAATTCAACTTAGAAACGTCAAAAGATTGTCCATTCTCAAAAAGTTGGGACTCCAATCACATACTTCAACCCAAAATTCTCGTATCCAAACTTATATTCCTTCCTTACATACATAGTCATCAAACTCAAACAATCCAAAAGATTATCCTTTATCCCACTTATAGACTAAAAAGCAAATTTTTTATTCTAGTGCTTCCCTTTTCTAAAATTTCTCAAACTCTTCTTGTGATCTCTCATTCCTCAATTCAACAATTCTTCGCTTTCCAATCATCCTTAATTCAAATTCTTTCATACATCTTATTCCTCAGTTACAACAATTCTTGACTTTCCAATCGTCTATTTGAATATGTAACCCCACGTCTACCACTGTACACATAATGTTTCCTCCTTTATGTGCATAATACCTAGTGTTATTTTTTCATTTAATTCATCACGGAAACTCATGACAAATCTAAGAAGTGCCTTCATCCATCATCTTAATGATTCATCCAATTTACAAATCTTTACAACCCCTTTTCCGTAAAATAAACCTCCTTGCTTAGAAAGGGTTGGAAGACCTTGGGGCACCTCTGTATGGTAGGGGAGAGTGTATACAATTTTTTGTAATTACCTTTAAATCTTATTTTGTTTGATTGGAGTATCTTTTTAGGTCAATTGGGCTCTCCTCTTGGGGATATCACACCCGTTTCTTTTAAACAATCCTTTAGCTCTTATTTTGCTTGATTTGAGCACTCTTTATAGGTCAATTGGGTTCTCTATTGGGGTGGTTTTCTAGTGTTCCTCTTGTATTCTTTTATTTGATCTCAATGAAAGCTTCACTTTCATTTTTTCTTAAAAAAAAAAAATCTATTCATAACTACCCAAAAAGCTCATAAAACAAAAGATGTAATGTAATTCCTTACTCATGAACCTCTTTCAACTTTAACATTCATTATAATCCTTTATTGTAGTTTAAAAGAATAAAAACATGATGTCGGAAGCACAAAGAACATCAAAAAAAAAAAAAAAAAAAAAAAAAAAAAAAAAAAAAAAAAAAAAAAAAAAAAA